TTTCTTTCTTTCTTTCTTTCTTTCTTTCTTTCTTTCTTTCTTTCTTTTTTTAGGTAGGATCTCCCTATGTAGCCCTGGGTGTCCTTAGAACTCTGTAGTCCAGGCTGACCTCGAACTCATAGAGATCCACCTGCCTCAGCCTCCAGAGTGCTGGGGTTAAAGGTATGCACTACCACTGCGTAGCCTAATAAGATATTTTTCAGTGTATAAAATATAAAAAGTATATCAAGTGATTTGGGCCTTGGTATGCCCCGTTATATAAACAGTATTTTCGTACTTTTGCCCCAAGGCACGACAACAAGCTCAGATACGCCAGCAAATGGCAGAGGACAGCAAAGCGGATTACTCCTTAATCCTGCAGAGATTCAACCAGGAGCAATGGGAGTACTACCATACCCACATCCCCAACATCTTCCAGGTAAGTGCTCCACAGTGCTCCAGGTTTGTGAAGGCAGGATGGTCCGTTGTCACAGGGCCTCACTGTAGCCTGGAAGTCAGTATGAACCATTGTCACAGGGCCTCACTGTAGCCTGGAAGTCAGTATGAACTGTTGTCACAGGGCCTCACAGTAGCCTGGAAGTCAGTATGAACCTTGACTGGCAGTCATCCAGCCTCGGCCTCCCGAGTCCTGGTATCAGAAATATGCATAACAATATCTGGTTTCCCAATGTCCACCAAGTCTGTGTGAGTGCCTGCGTGTGTGTGTGTGTGTGTGTGTGTGTGTGTGTGTGTGTGTGTGTGTAAATCAGAGGTCAACTTGATGTGCATAACCACATCTGCTTCCGAAATGTCCACTGAATCTGTGATTCTCCTGTTTCAGGTACCCTTGTCTATGTGTCCCACACACCTTGCTTTAAGGTTCTGGGTGTTAATTAATCTCAGGTCCTCATGCCTGCACAGCAAGCATCTCATCCATGGAGCCAGCTCCCCAGCCCCCGCTGAGTCATCTCCCCTTAACGTGGAGATCAAACGATGGCCAGCAATAACAATGAAGCCTAACCCGGGCTTCACTGGGTGCCTGTGTAGACATCCTGGTTTTCACTGCACCCCCATTTTTGCAGGGGCTGAGGTTTTACAACTGTGCCTTTTAGATGCCTGCTTACTCTTTAAAGCATACTCCAGCTACAAGAAATGCCTGCTTAGCTCTGGAGACAAAGCAGCATTCAGAGCGGTGGGATTTGAACAAACAAGTGTTGTTTCCCTTGAATTGTTCTCTTTTTCTTTTTAAAATCTGTGTGTGTGTGTACGTACAGAGTCTCATTATGGACTCCTGGCTGTCCTGGAACTCAATCTGTATACAGGCTGGCCTTGAACTCCCAGAGATCCACCTGCCTCTGAGTACTGGGATAAAGTGTGCACCACTACACTCAACCACCTTACTTTGTGGAAGCAGGCTCTCCCTGACCTGGAGCTTGCCCCAGCAGCCAGTGCTAAAGGTTTTCCTCTCTGCCTCCACAGTCTTGGGGTCATTTGCACACCGCCCATTCAGCCCTGGCGTTTTGCATGACTGTTGAAGGTTAAACTCAGGTCCTTGTGGCAACTGAGTTTACCAACTGAGCCTGGATCCTATGTATTTGTTTGTTTTTCTAAGACAGGGTTTCTCTGTGTCCTGGAACTCACTGTGTAGACCAGGCTGGTTTTGATCCACCTGCCTCTGCCTCCTGAGTGTCAGGATTAAACGTGTGTGCTGCCACTGCCCGGCTCCTGCATCTTTTTTTTTTTCCTACCTCAAGTGCTCAGAAATGGTATAAGAGACTGAGTGACGCTCACTGTGGAGCATTGGTTTGTCACTGTCACAGCTAAGCCTTACCTTCCATTCCCAGCACAACAGTCATTCAATCAGTCAAGGCATACACACACACTCACACACACACACACACACACACACGTACACACACACACACACACACACACACACACACTATTTTCCTGTTTGAATACTTTTACCTGTTTTTTATTTGTTTTTGAGACAGAGTCTTGCTATGTATTCCAGGCCAGGCTCAAACTAGTAATCCTCCTGCCTCAGCTTCCAGAATACAAGGATTGTACCACCACCATGCCATTTGGGGAATCTTTTAGGATTTGAGTTCCAAATGTAGAAAAGCCAAAGTAGTTGATTGAAGTAATTCCCTGGTTGGGTCTGGTCAGGTTCTCAGTGTCCCCACCACGAACCTTTAGGTCAGTATTTCTCAACCTAGGGGTCAAGACCCCCTTAGGGGTTGAACGACTTTTTCACAGAGTTCACCTAAGACCATTGAAAACCACGAGTTTTTACATTACGATTCATAACAGTAGCAAAGTTACAGATAAGAGGTAGCAAGGGAATACTTTTGTGGTTGGAGGTAGCAGATCAACACACCATGAGGAACTGTATTAAAGGGTCACAGCGTTAGGGGGTGAGATCACTGCTCTATGCTGTGGACAGCAGGACTCTGGTTCTGTCTCAGCCTGGGTTGCATTGAGCCTGTCACCAAAAGGTCTTTGTAAAAGATAGAAAGTGGAGGGATGTGTATTGCCAAGTAAAAGCTAAAAACAAGACTAGTAAAAACTAGTAAAGCTAAAAACAAACAAACAAACAATAACAAAACCCATCCACCTCTAATGTGATCCCAGGACTTGGGAAGTAGAGGCAGAAAGATCGTAAGTCAAAGCTAGCCTGTGTCCAGACAACAAAATAATAATAATAAATACCATAATAAAGCCACTATGATGAGTTGTGCTTCCTTTCAGTGGTGCTGTGATAAGCTCCTCCCACAAGACCAGCTTCAGGAAGGAAGCGTTTATTGGCTCACGGTTGAGGTTATGGAGCAGGATATCATGGAACAGAGTCACCAGCAGGAGGCGCTGGTCATGTTGCATCAGGAGTTGAGAAACAAGGAGTGATGGATGCTAGCGCTCAGCTTTCTCCTTATTTTAAATTTCTTTCTATATTTTTATTTTGCATGTATGAATGTTTTGTATGTATTCTGCATACCACATGCATGCAGTGCCTGTGTTAGCCAGAAGAGGGTGCTGGGGCCCCTGGGACTATAGTTACAGATGGTTGTGAGCCCCCATATGGGTGCTGGGAATCAAACCCAGGTCCTCTGGAAGAACGTCCAGCATTCTTAACCACTGAGCCATCTCTTCAGTCCCCTTTCCATATATGTAAATTACATTTATCTAGTCATTCATGTGTTTAGTATGTGGTTATATGTAGGGAGGATGCCTGTATCACAGCACACACAGTGGTCAGAAAACATACTCTTTTCTCCTTGCTAAATGGGTTCTGGGGTTTGAATTCAGGTTATCGAGCTTGAGGGAAAGAGCCAGCACACACCTGCTGAGGTATCTTGTGGGCTTGCCTTTTTTTTCTAGGCTGGAACCCCAGCACAATGAATAGTGACACCTGCATTTAGCGTGGGTCGTCCCATTTCAATTAAACTAATCAAGAAACTCCTTCGTTGGCATGCCCAGAGGATATTTGGTGATTGTAAGTCCTGCAAATCAAAATCAACCACATCATGGCAGTCTTCCTGCAATTTACAATGCCGTTGTGTGAAGGGCTCACAAGGCAGCCCAGCGGTTCACTGAACACAGCACAGCAGGCTTACAATAAACACAGAGGAGCAGTAATCACCCCAAAACAACTACCTGGGTTAGCATAGACCATTTTATACTTGTTCTGAATTTTGCAGAAAATACAAGAGATGGAGGAGAGGAGAATCGTGCGCATTGGAGAGTCCATGAAGACGTACGCAGAGGTGGACCGGCAGGTGATCCCCATCATCGGGAAATGCCTGGACGGTATAGTGAAGGCGGCCGAGTCTATCGACCAGAAAAACGTAAGCGTGGTGGTCACTGGGCTTCTCTTGGGGCCTCATCTCGCTCCTTGTCCCTCCAGCAACACTTCGTTCAGGGACCCTGAGACTGGGAGCTGCTGCGTGTGGTTTTTGTCCTTTTCCACCTAAAAGGCCTTTCCTGAAGCCCTCACTCAGTGTTTGGGGTTTAGTTCCTCAGTCCTTCCGTGCAAAACACACTCGCAGGGTTGTCACTGAATTGACTAGAAGTGTTTTGTTGGGATTGAACTGATTTCTGGAAAGGGGCAAAGCTCTCTAAGGCACCAGTGACCCAGCCGCCTGCAGAGCATGAGATGTTTAACACTGGATACTGATGGCACCCCTCTGTTGAATAATCCCTGTCACTTTCGGGTGTTGTCAAAAGTCCTCTGGGAGAAAAATTGTTTTTTGTTTAAAATACCCACTCGGATCCCTGAGTTCCACTCTTTAATGATCTCTGAAAAGAGTTTTGTCAGTCTGGTGTGCTCAGCTGCCTCGGAATGTTTTAAATGGTGATTTTTTTGTAAGACAAAATTCTAGGCAATAGGTGGTTCTCTTGTGGAGTTTTGACTGTATGATATCCTGCCTCCCATTTCGTTAAGATATGTTGACTGTAAGCATCCTTCAGGAGCCTCCACCAAGTTTGTGAGGAAAAAATTATCACCATTCCAAAATAAACGGCATCCTCCCTGCCGCTGACAGCATCCTACAGGCGAGCTTCCTACCTGGGGTGCTCAAACCAGTCTTACTTTGACTGGATTTTTTTTTTTTTCTGTCATCAGTTCAAGGTCTCTCAGAAAAATTTAAAAGTTTATGTGAAACTTCCTCCAGTCTCCCTGTTTAAGGGTTTAGTGACACGCCATAATCCACGTGGACAAAGGAGGAATCCTTCAAAGGCAAAGCATCATGGGAGGTGGATCTAAGATCTGGAAAGTCTCTTTGGCTCTCACCTGGAGGCGAAACTTTCTGAATCAATGTCTCTAGTAATGGACACAGTACTACAGAAAAGAAAATGTCTCAGTGGGAGGATTTTCTTGGATCAGCCTCGGTATGTATCCTCGCCACACTGGTGTTGAGCTGCTTGTCCGTGGGTGTGATTGCAGGACTCCCAGCTGGTCGTAGAAGCATATAAGTCAGGATTTGAGCCTCCTGGAGACATTGAATTCGAAGATTACACACAGCCGATGAAACGCACGGTGTCAGACAACAGCCTCTCCAGCTCCAAAGAAGGCAAGGCTGAGCTCAAGTTTGGCGGCAAGTCCAGAGGCAAGCTCTGGCCATTCATCAAGAAAAACAAGGTACTGGCCATTTGGACCCTGTGCGGGCTGAGAGCTACAAGGTGTAGAGGCTCAGAGTTTATCTTTTGGTCTTAATCCAACTAAGATCTGAACTTTCAGAAATGGAGAGAGGACAGTTAGCGTGCTGCGTTCATTTCACGATTCAAATGGTCTCTCTCTGGTGTTGGAGTCTTTGCCATGGCCTCTGTCTTATTGCAGATGCGTTGTCCCAGGACTGGGTCACCCACACTAACATCACTGACCTCACAGCCCTCTCACCCACCCCCATCCTCCCAGACTGCTGGGCACCTCTGCTGGGAGCAAGGGGACCGGGTCCCAGCTAATCAAGCTTGTTGGCCTGGCCTTGGTTTTGACATGTTAACCTCTGTCTCCGGGAACAGTTTTTCATTGTCATAGTGTGGTATGTAGGTGCATGACAGCTAACCCAGTGGCCTAAACCGAATGGAAGTGGCCTTGCTGCATTAACCTTAGGTCAGACTGATTGTCTGAGTTTCCCAGGACAGAACTGCCCCCTGTTTCTTCGGAACCTTGGTGATTTAAATCCTCTTTTCCCCATCGAACTTCGTTAGGTTAGGTGTGGAAATGTTTACTCCTCTGGCTTAAACTGGTTTTAGAATGACTAACTAACGAGAGCCTTAGCTTGCATGTGCCGTCTGCATGAGCTTTGGGTCATAATCTTCTGCCGTCCTGTCGCCTACTCACGGACCCTCTCCTTTCCACCCCCTCTTCGTGGACCGCATCCTCCATGATTTCTTTTGTACCGTGGCATCGATATTAATGGTTTGTGTTTTACTTGCTTTGGATCTTGAATATGATTTGATGCTTATTTCTGTTTTGTGTCTTCTTGTTTCTGATTTTTTTTTCTGTCGACATTCCACCCCTCACATGTAGCTTGTGTCCCTTTTAACATCCCCCCATCAGCCTCCCCCTCCTCCCCCTGCCTCTGCCTCACCCTCTGCTGTTCCCAACGGCCCCCAGTCTCCCAAGCAGCAAAAGGAACCCCTCTCCCACCGCTTCAACGAGTTCATGACCTCCAAACCCAAAATCCACTGCTTCCGGAGCCTAAAGCGTGGGGTAAGTTCCGCTCTGGAGTCCTGCATCTCTCGCACACCGTGTTGCGTGTCTCATTCTGCATATTTTACTTGTGAATGGACCCAGTGTGTTTTCCTATTACATTTAGAGGGATAGAGAGCTTGAGCCTAGGCTTTCAGAGAACAAAAGAATGGCAGAAAGAGAGGAAGGCGCAGAGCCTGCAGGGGGGTGAGGAGGAGAGAGCCAGCAGGCCCGAGGTCTTTGACTCTCTAGTCCGTGCTGGAAGCACCCTGCACTTCCCCTCAGAAATTAGAAGTCATCCTTTCTCCTCTTTGGTCTCACCAACTCTGACTCGGTCTCTCAAACAATGTGAAGATGAGGAAGTGGAAGTGACTGGACGGTCAGAAAATCTGTGCTGACTAATTACAGACAGGGATGCCGCACAGGCTCTGCTGTCCAAATGACGCTGCTGGCGAGGAGGAAGGAAGTGGACCGGCACACTGGTTCCCTTGTGAGGTTCAGGGGTAACAATAGAATACCTACCTCTCAAACCTGCATCTCTCTGCAAAGGGAGAAGGCTCAACAGTCGCAGGATTCATCCAGGGCTTCCTCCTCCATTCGGTCCCCCCTTCCTTGGTGGTGAAGCCAGTGACCTAACAGAAGCTGTGGAGCCAGGACAGAGTCGGCTCACATGGTCTGGCGCTCTGTGGCACCCAAGTTCAGGGAACAGTCACTTAGAATGTGGTTGCTGCTAAGACCCAAGGTTGAAATCAGGTGTGTCGTTGCACGATCTGTCCTCCCAGCCTTCGGAGAATTACAAGTTCAGAGACATCCTTGGCTACAGAATAAGTTATGAGCCATCCTGGGCTATATGAGATTCTGTCTCAAAACAAGCAAGCAAACAGAAAGCCCTCCAGTTTGTAACCATACATGAACCTCTGTAGGAACTGGGCAGTCATCCAGCATAGATACCAACTTAGCTTAATAGAAAAAGGCTGGAATAAAGTAATTTGTGACCTCCCAAGTAAAGCTAAGTAAGCCTCCTCTAGTTGTATTTATAATAACGGTCTGGACTGAGTGTGGTGGCTCACACCTGCAGTCCTAGCACTTGGGAGGCTGAGGCATGAAAATGTTAAGTTTAAGACTAGCTTGGGTTACACGTCTTTCCAGGCTAGCCTGGGGTGTGAAGTGAGACCCTGCCACAAACAGACAAAAAATCTTTAGCCGAATGGTCAATGCCTCACCCACCTCCAGTCCTGGAACTCACTCTGTAGCCCAGGCTGGCCTAGAGCCTCCCTGGAGTGCTGAGATTAAAGTCATATGCCACAATGGACAGCTGGAGACATTTCCGTGTAGCCCCTGGGAGCTCAGTTATCCCTGAAGCCAGAGGTGGGACCAGACCGTGGGCTAATAAGCAGCATCCTTGCAAATGGGAAGTTCCCTGGTTCTGTGTTTTCTGCTGTGGGAAAATCCCACTGTCCTCTGCTGTGGGAAAGATTGCAAACCATGGCTAATTAGAGGAGCATCTGCCTCAGATCCATCCGCTGGTGGATTTCCTTATCTGTAGAATCCTTGTACTGAGAGAATCTTCATTTCATAAAAACAGTGTTCTGGTCTACATATAACCTCAGTACTCCAGAGGCTGAAGCAGGAGGATTGCAGTACATTTAAGGCCAGCCTGGGCTTCATAATGAGATCCTATTTCCAAAGGAAGGAAGGAAGGAAGGAAGGAAGGAAGGAAGGAAGGAAGGAAGGAAGGAAGGA